CGAAGTTCTGGTTCTAAAATATCATTTGCTGATCCTTCTATCATAACAACTAAATTTTTTGATATACATGATAAAACAAGATTTAATTTACTTTGTTGAAGTTCACGTTTTGAAGGATTAATTATATATGTATTGTCAATTAAACCAATTCTTACAGCTGCTACAGGTCCATTCCATGGAATATCCGAAATGCTTAAAGCTGCAGATGCAGCATTGATAGATAATACATCTGGATTATTAATTCCATCAATAGATAATAAATTACATACTATCTGTGTTTCATATGAATATTTTGGTTGAAATAGAGGACGTAATGATCTATCTATTATTCTACTAATAAGAATTTCATGATCTGTAAAACCTAATTCTCTACGAAGAAAATTTGTTGGTATACGACCTATTGCAGCCGCTTTTTGTCTATAATTTACAGTTAATGGAATTATAGAATTATTAGATAATACATTTTTTCTAACTACAGTTGTCATAATTGATGTATCGCCAATCGTAGCAAGAACACTTCCATTTGTAAATCGTGCATATTTCCCAGTTGATAATTTAATTTCCGACCTAAAAAAATATTTGAAATAAAAAATAATAAATATAAAGTAAATGTAATTAAATAATATATAACAATTTATTCACATTATATTTATTATTCACATTATTTTTATTATTATAAATATTTATGACTTAGGTTAAAGAATAATATTCTTACCCATTAGATAACTTTATATTTATATTCTGTTCAGTATTACTTGATATAAATTTAATGTGAAATGTATTTTCAATTTTATTATGATTTTTCAATCGCAAAAAAATGAAATTTCTATTATTTAATAACCTATAATACCTAAATAGCATCATTTTCGTACTAATTTCATTTCAACATATTCATAGTTGCCAACATTTACAAAGAAAAAATCCTATTATAAATTTTTTATTAAGTATTGTAAAAATATATACATAAAGATTAAATTATATTTTATTTTATTAATGAATATCAATTTTTCTTATTTATAAGTAGTATTTATTAAATTATATTATTATTATATTAAACTTATATATTTTTAAGATTGATTTATATTGCATTTTCGTATGTCAAAATAATTAAGAAAATTAAAAAAAAAATTCAATATATGTAACTATTAAAAAGAATAATAATAACTATTAAAAAGAATAATAAAAAAACTAAAATATAAAAATCTTTAATCAAATTTAAAATTATGTTTATATTATAATTTTTATACAAATTATATTATCTATAATCTAATCACACTGATCGAATTTTTCGTATGCAATACATTATAACATGATCAACAAAGTTATAATATCAGTCAAAAAAAAGTTATAATTTATAATTTAATCGTGTGAAAAAAAATATGGAAAAAAGTATTTTTCGTCTATTAAAATCATATTTTAAAAATTCTTTAACCATTAAAAGATTTTACAAAGAGTATAAATCGGATCATCCGGTGTTCGATAGAAGAATAGAGGATAAAAATCTTAGTTTTTTTCAGAAAATAGAAAAAGTATATTGTACATGTAGAGATGAATGTAAATTATTTATACATGAAACATTGCAGAAATATTCAATATATCCAAATAAATTTACAGTAAATGAAATTGATATTGTATGGAAATTTGATGGATCTCAAAAGTCGCTGGATCAATGGATTGTAAATTCTGACAGTGATTATGGACATGGTTATTCAAGTGCTAAGTAACTACATAATATTTTATATGCTATCACATTTTGAAAAAATGTAAGTAAATTAGTATTAAAAAAATGCTTTTTTTATTATTTTTTAGGTTAGAATTGTCATCTCATGGTTATGGAATATTTCACGGTATATTAAATACCACTCCAGTAAAAGATGGTGAAACAACAGATAGTGGTTACTGTAATATCACTACAATTCCAAAATTTAAATCTTTTTATCGAATAGATGAATATGATTGGATTGAGTATAATGAAATTGTATTACGAGTTAGAGGAGATGGTAGAACTTATATGTTAAATATCTTACAAAAAAACCTAAAATTTACTGAAGTTAATAATTTTATTTATCATTATTTTATGTATACAAGAGGTGGTCCATATTGGCAAATAGTTAGAATTCCTTTTTCAAAATTTGTGATTTGTAACAAAGGACAAATTAATGAAAATCAATATCCCTTAGTTAATAATACTGTTACAAATTTTGGTATTACAATTGCTGATAAAATATCAGGTCCTTTTAAATTAGAAATTGATTATATTGGTGTTTGTCGTAATACAAATATTTCTGAAAATTTTGCATATGAAACATATGAAGTAAATAGAAATGAATAATAATCTTTTTTTTTATCAGATAAAGTAAGAATTATAAAGTAAGAATAATTTTTTTTATTAATTTTATTTATGTAGTAAATATGGAGTAAATACTTAAATATTTAAATAAAGTAAATAATAAATTTATATACATTAATTTATTGTTGTAATCATTAACATATATGCTTAAAAAGATGTTTTTGATGAAGTTTTTTTTCTTAAGAATTTATATGTATTTTTTGATATTAAATAACTTAAACCTCCTGCTAATGTCGTTAATGCTGTTATGTAACAGGAAGCTATTAAAATTGGATGATTTACAAAATGAAATACAGGTGCAGCCAATGTTCCAGCAACAAAAGATAATTGAATAGCAGTATTGATTTTACTTATGGATGTTGGAGCTAATTGTGCTGTTGCATATGTAGGATTAAAATATCTTGCAAAAGTTTTCTGAAATATATTTTATAAATAAACAATCACTTATACAAATATTTATATATAATTTAATAATATATACATACTGGAGAAGGTAAAGATTTATATCTTATGTATGAAGCAGCAGATATTAAGACAATATCTCGTGTAATAACAAGACACGTTAAAGGAATAGGAACCAATCCTACCCAGGCCAAAGATAGGAATAGTGTACCTACAAGTAATTTATCTGCAACTGGATCTAGAAAAGTACCAAGTTTAGAAGCTTGTGATGACCATGTACGTGCAATCCATCCATCAGCTAGGTCACTAAATCCTGCAAATACTAATAACCACAATGCTATCTGTAACAAACAAATCATAAATATCAAAAATAATAAACATATATTCACATATTTATATATTCACCTGATATTTTACCTGATAATCTTGTGATAAAATTAAATAACTTAAATATGGTGATGTTAAAATTCGACCCATACAAAGAAAATTTGGCACTGTCCAAATATTTTCTTTCTCAATAATTATTTCTACTTTCCGTTTAGTCTGTTTGATACCTTGAAGCATTGTTCTTGAAACATTATGTTTTTTTCTACTAATATTTTCCTTTTTAATATAATTTTTATGATGATTAGTAATTCCAGTAGAATATATTTTTGCATGATAAATTAAATATTGTTTCAAATATTTTTCCAACCAATATTTATTTAAGATTGAATATTTATTTATTGTAGATTGTTTCAAGCATAATATTGTAAATTGATTCATAATTGTTTATTCCTAAGATAATTTAATGGAAAAAAAGATATTATAAATATTAAGATCACAATATATTTATTTATATTTTATTAAAAAATGTAAGTACATAATATACAAGTATGAATAAATTTATATTATATTAATAAATATTTTAATAATAATAATATTATATAATATTATTTCTAATAAAATTATTTAAGAACAAGTTGTTAAATTAAAAGTTAATATAAAACTAATATTAAACTAAAAATATTAAAATTAAAATTGTTAATAAAGAAATAAAATGAAATACATCATATATACATATATTAAAACATTTTATAATAAACTTTATAGTAAAAAATTTATTGAATTAATATATAAAAAAGAAATTTTATTTTCGAGGTTATGTTATTGAATAATATAAAACTTACCTATCAAGTTAAATTTGTTATACTTTAATATGTACCGAAAAAAAATTAAAACTATTGTTTTTCAAAAAATTAAAAAAAAATTAATTATGTGATTAATCCTATCATATTTAATCATAATTTTTCTATTTCAAAATCAAGTTAGTCTTGAACGAGTTAAATAATATTCATATTGGTTAACTAAAATTAATTTCATTAACAAATTGTTGTATTACAGTCTTATATTAATTCTAATTCAATTAATAATATATGCATTAAAAAGTCAATGTGCCAGTTATTTAAAATACATAATAACAAAAGGGTGAAAAAAATAATTTCGTGAAGTGTTTCTATTTTCTTAATAGACAAATTCTTATATGTTTATAATATATTGATTATCGATGATGAGAACCATCATTGTTTTTTAATATTTACACTCAAATAAATCATATATTAAAATATAATAACTATAGACAGTATTTATTATATAAGATATAATAAGATATAATTTATATTTCTTTATAATGCTTTAAATTTTTTAAATTAATTTTAAAATTAATTATTAAATGAATTTAATTATTAATACAATTTAATTATTAAATGATGCAGTATTTATTATTAGTTTATAATTATCAGTATATAATTATCAGTTTCTTAATCAGTTTACTTTTTAAATAGCCTATATGAATTTAATCGTATATTACAATATGATTATGATATGATTACGATGTGATTACGATATGATTAAAAATATAATAAAAATATAATAAAAATATTTATTTAATAATTGAAGGATGAGAGATATATATTAAAAGAAGTAAAATAAAAAAAAATTTATTTCATTCAAAATTCTTTTATTTAAGATATATTAAATTCAATATAGTATTTTTTTTTTTTTAAATAAATAGAACATAATATATTTTTTTAACTAAAAAATAGTATAAGTTAAATATAATAATTATTGATAAATGTATTGATAATGTTATAATTAAATATATAATATAAAAAAATTACAAACTTCATACTAAAGAAATTATCTCAAAATGAGAATCCCTGTTGAAAAAAAAATTTTCGTTATAAGAATGTGTGCCCGCGAAACGCATGCGTATAACTGGTCGAAGTATTGCAGGCGCACGACTCGCAAGCAACAGAGTGCTGTGTACATCTCCGCCTACGTATTATTATTTGTCTGTCTCATAACCACGCTTTTTGTTGATCGTGATCAACCACGAGTTTTAAACAGTTTCGAATAATGAATTCATCATTTGTAAAAGACGTATTGTGGCTTGTTGACAAAACGACGTAAGAAGGCTTTAATGCAATACGAAGGCAAGCATGATTCTGGCAGGATCAGACCATTTTCTGGCGGGTAAGTCCACTATCTTCTATTTATTACCTACTTCTTTCCGAATTTAATTGTTCAAACGTAAACTTTTATAATGAGATGTTAACCTCAAAATATTGATGATTGTAGAAAGAAATTAAATAAGTAAGTATTCATTTACGATAGAGTTAGCAAATTAAGTGAAATGTGCGTTCCTTTTTATATCCTTTTCGTTATGTCTTTCTTAGTTAAATATATACATGCATTATATACATGTTTCTAATAGATTTAAATTTTAATACATTTAATTTTTAATAAAAATTAATCTTAACTATAGTATAACAACTATCTTTTAATATACTGTTAGATTCTGACAATAGAAAATGTTCCACATATGTAGAATATGTATATCGTTCGCTTTGATTAATCGAAAATGATTCGAATGTGAATGTATGCCACGGCTTCCGCATTGCGCAAATTAAGATTATTTCAAAATTCACTGTCTTGAATAATATTTTATTATTATTTATTTGCTTTTTTTTCATGAAAGAAAATCAAATGATAATTTTAATAGTATATGGAGATCGAAAATATGATAATTTGGAAAACAATTTTTTAACAAATCTATATAAGTTATTAATAAATAGCACAAATATATATAATTTTTTATATTATATATTATAATATTCATTCCTTTTAATGACGAGTTCTGATATTTTCGACAAAAATTATTAGAATCAATAAATTTTTGTAAGATCTCGATATCGCGAATCATATTCATTATTTAATATAGAGTAGTGGTTGCGTGATAAGTGAAGCGATAGTTAATTATTCCAGGTCATTACGACGTAATGTGTCGCTGCTGTTATAACGCGTTCGATACATCGACTACACGTACAACCGCCGGTCGGGAGAAAGATTTAATCGGTGTATGGGTGAACGCCTTTCTCCGTAGTCAATAAATAACTTTTGCTTTGAACGTGCTCTTTTTAATCATGTTTTTTTACATCTATGAAATCTTCCTTCCGGTCCATATCATCATTCTTCTTTCAATGCACTTTATGTTTGTTTTTTTTTTTCACTTCTCGTTTTTTTAATTCATTTTCATGATTTTTATGATCGATCGATTTGTCGGATAAATAACTTACACAACCAATAATTTATATCAACTAATTGTTCTCAATCGATCAATTTACAGTACCGGTAGAAGCAACAGCATTTTTGGGTGCTGTTGCTGGTTTTGTGGTTCTTCTGTTGGCTCTTTTCCTGTACCTATCACGCAAATGGTGCTTTACTCCGCCGTCCACAACCACACTTTTCGGCGGCGTTTGCGTGCCTCTTTGCGAATCTAATAATGGCTCGACTTCTCAAATTACAAAGAACATAGGTAGGTTAATGCATAATTGATCCTATGCTTTTAATATTAAAATTTTTTGGAAAATATAACAATCAAAACAGACGCAATGATCCCAGTCCTTTCAAAGATCGTTATCAGCTACTTTGTACTTGAAATTAAAGTGAACATTGGGTTTAATATGCGATTTGAAAATGAAACTTGCAGGAAAAGCATTTTCCTATTCGGATCCAGAGACTAGTTCCGATTCGGAAGAAGATGTCCGTCGATTGAATTCTCATTCTCATCCACCGCCGGATACTTTAACTATCCAAGCAGAGGATGGACCGACTATCTTGGGTTAGTTTCCATTTTTTTCTATTTTTTTCTCTTTCATTTATTTTGTTCATTCCTAATTGATCATATATTAATGTTTCAGATGCTGGCACCACTTCTAGCAGCTGCACAGAAGAACACTCGTCCAATGATCAACAACAAGTGAGTAAAAAAAGATATGTTTTAATTATGTGCGTTCGAATTTCATTTTTTTGATCTGTCTAATTGCCATACAAATAATTAATCGGAATTTGAATTTCCCGGATATCCTCCCAGATATCTTATCACGCAATATTTTAACCACATAAAATCTCATCACTTTTTGATGATTTATTTGTTTATATTAGTTCAATATCTAAAATTTATTATTAATATATTTTCCAAATAAATAATTTTTAAATAAGAAAGAAAAAATATAATAAACAAATTTAATAAATTTTTTAATTTATTTATTGTTTGTTATTGATTTCTATGAAGCAATAATTTTGTTTGACACATAGTGCGTGGTAGAAGTGGGAGCTTCCGGTCTTGACAGTAGAGAACAAGAAGTAGAAGTGGAGCAAAATGGTTCAACTACTAACGATGTTATTACAACAATGGGTACTATCACCGAAGAAGTGGGTAGCTTGGAAGTCGCTTTTCTATATGATGCACCGATGCGCGAGATGACAGTTTGTATTAGTTAATTTCATTTATAAAATTCATTCATAATTTGATAGCTGATAGATTTGTATTTTCATAGGTTCATGTATTGCAAGGCCGAAATTATCCTGAAGGTATAGGCGGCAGTCAAGTTCGACTAGTATTATTACCATCGAAGAAACAACGACGCAAAACTCGGGTGCGTCAAGGTACATCTCCACAATACATGGAGAGTTTTTTACTTCCACGAGTAAATCCGGAGGATGTAAATGCCATGGGTGTACGCTTAAGAGTATATTTATGGGGCGGAAGAATGCGTAGAGAAAGATTGTTAGGCGAAGCGAGAGTCTCTTTCGATCAAATTAATCTTCAGCTTGAAACTACACTTTGGTTAACGCTACAACCTCCACCTTTTTCTTCGGTAAAATATTTATATAATTGTCATATTTATATTATTTATACATATTAGTTATATGTATTTTATTTATTTATAAATTCTGAACAAAATAATATATTAATAAAATAAATATAATCTTTAAGGTACAAGATTGGGGAACAACTAGTAGTTTGACTCGCAGCGATTCGACAGGATCACAACAATCAGTTCAATCATATGCATCACCTACTGCACGTGTGCCAACTTATGCATCGCATACTATACCTCCTTATGGCAGTAGTATGAAGGGTGGAAGTGTAGCGGAGATTTTAATAGGTTTGGCTTATAATGGAACGACTGGACGTTTATCGGTAGAGATAATCAAAGGATCTCATTTTCGTGGTGGTGGTGGGAATGACACGAAACCACCTGATACATATGTTAAGCTTGCTCTTGTAGATAGTAATGGTCATGAAATGGAACGATCAAAAACTGGTTTGAAACGTGCTCAGCCGAATCCTCTTTATAAGGAAACATTTATATTTCAAGTATGTTTTGCTAATTATTGCTTTATTGAATAATTAAATAAAAAAATTTAAGCATATTTTTTTCTTTTCTATAAATTAATTTAATCCAATTATCCAATTTAATCTAATATTTTGTTTAGGTTGCACTATTCCAACTTGGAGATGTAACACTCTTTTTATCGGTTTATAATCGACGAAGAGGTGGAATGGGAAGAAAAGGAAGAGAAATGATTGGTTGGCTCAGTTTAGGATTAAACAGTTCCGGTTCGGAGGAGCTTCAACATTGGAATGATATGCGTGCAGCAAGGCAACCGACGCAAGTTCAACGTTGGCACTCGTTGCTACGTCCTTGAAATATACGATCACGAAAGAATTTTTATTACAAAACAACATTCCATGTTAACGATAACGATATGGTTTGATCAATGGAACACAGTACAGATCACGGTTACTCTTGTACACCGTGATGACTGATCGTGTAGCAAAGCAACTGAATTTTTCAAGATGAATGCGGCTGCGCTCTATTGGATGCCGTTTGTACTGCCCGAACAGAACAAAGAAGTCAATATATTGATCTGTTGATCCTGTGAATCAGAGCTGTCATAATTTAGCATGTGGTAACTCTGAATTCAAAACTCTATCGATGTACCAAGTACATTCCTTTTTGATACGCTGGACGGAGTTGAGGGTGTTTCCAACATACATATTACGTATGTATATTACATATACAAACAGAGAAAGAACGCGACGCGTATACTATTCATACACTTACACGTATTTATTTACATATACGCACAATACATTTCAATTACACGCGCATACAAATATGCAAACATACATTTTATCGGTCCCAAAAGTCGAATGTATATATTACCAGATGGACCGCAAAACTGACTTCGATTCGATATGTGCCTGAGCCAACCTTAATCGTTTATTTTTTACTTTGTGCCTTTCACCCTTTTTAGGCCGCGTGTCCATCGACGGAGAATCGTCGTGGGATACCCAGCCGAGTCGAGAGCCCATTATGAACCGCGATCCTCTAGTCGTTCTCTTTTGGACGAGTTAAATTAAACTAACGTAACTTTTTCTCTCTCGACTCCGCGATATTTTCAACGGAATATTCGATTTACAGTGCTTATTTGTTCGATACATTCGATATTACAAATCTTGGCGTTTTGATCATATGGTTCGAGAATGGATTGATATGCAAAAAGAATTAATACCTTGTTGCATTTGTTTGATTTTCGACTATTACTCTTTGTGTGAAATAGAAAACAATTCCTAAATAAATAAATAGATTATATTAATTTCTTATATATTTATGTCTATTTATTTTTTTTCTATCTAATATTCTTCGTACATATATATATTTATTTAATATTGGATAATACTAAAACAGCAGAAAGTTACATCAACAATAATTTTCCAAGTTATTTGATATCAATCAATAAATATATGTACTAACAGTTATATGTATATTTATAATTATATATAAGCGCTACATTATGAATATTTCGTATATGCAAGATATCGGTTAATCAATTAATAGGATCGAGGGATAGTTAATCGATGGAATAAAAAGAACGTATTACGAGGACATATTCACAATTCAACGACGCACAATAAACTCATAAAACACCTTGTAAATTCAGATGTGATCGTAGAATTAATATTACTAATAAATTAGTAATATACGTTATCGTGAGTACGATAGATTACGTAGAAATGTTTTTTTCACGTATTTGTATTAGTGGGAATTGGTTACTGATGAAACGGGCGACTGATTAATGAATAAAAAATATCAGATACTATGAATAGTTTAATGCTTGACTTTTTCAAGCTTTATATAATATTTAGGTGATTACCAATGATTAATCCATGCTCGAACTATTCTCTCGTTTACGTATTTAGATAATGTATAACGCGATTGCAAGGACTCAGAAGTTTTTTTGATACAAATATAAGTAAATAATTATGAATTTTCTCTATAAAATGTGCAAAAGTTCTTTTTACAATGCTTTCCTTGAAAAAATACTTTTAAGGCTTTCAAATTTAGCATAATCATCAATAATCGATAATATTGTAGTAATGAGTGTTTATTGACATTGTCTAACTTTTAATCTTTTTAGAAAGCGAGAAAAAAATAATGGAAGAAAAGAATATATAATAAAGTGTGCGATTGAATTATTCAAGTTTCTACTTTGAATAAAGTTTTAAGCGTATTGAAATTTTAGCTAACTATTATTAGGATACTTTTTCACTTCTGAGTCCTGGTAAAATAAATCGTATATTGTACAGTCTGTTTATAAACAACACGATGTTGAAGATGAGAAATTTGAGAAAAATAGAAAGAGTATATTCGGTTTCTCGTCACGGATGAAACAAATGTAACGATAAAAACAGAATGTTTTCGAAATATTTATGATGATAATTAATGAGTAAGGCTTTTTCAGGGTGATTTCTATGCCTTTGATTGTTCCCGATTTGTTACGATATAGTTGTAATTGCATCGAACTATTTTAAAACAAATGACTGGCTTTTGCGAGATGATTCAATGATGATGAAATGCAGAATGCTTGATTAAAGATATTTAAAATATCGATTAGACAAAAAGAGTGTATGAAGTTCAATTTTATTTATCTAATTATTAATGTTCTATGAGCATGAATGTATGGAATGAAAAGATACTCGTGATATTACAATCTTGTTGTCTGGTGTTTTATTCTATTGTGTCGCTTTCTCGAGTGTTCGGTGCTTATA